TACGAGACTTCCTCCAAAAGTCACGCTGCGAGGCTGCAAGACGAGCGTTTCGTACGAGACTTCCTCCAAAACTCACGCGTCAAGTCTCAAAAACGAGCGTTTCGTACGAGACTTCCTCCAAAATTCACACGTCAAGTCTCCAAAACGAGCGTTTCGTACGAGACTTCCTCCAAAAGTCACATGTCAAGTCCCCAAAACGAGCGTTTCGTACGAGACTTCCTCAAAAACTCACACGTCAAAGTCTGCAAAACGAACGTTTCGCACGAGACTTCCTCCAAAAGTCCAGCGGAAACACCCATCGGAGCACACGCATCACGCAGCCCTGCCAAGCAGTTTCGCGATTCCAGCCCCTCCAAACGACACCCGCTCACACGCCAATCCCAATGTGACAGCGACATTCACCTCTACCACAACTCACAACCTCCCGATTCCCTGCGCCTGCCACGAATCTTTCCGCGTCCACACGTCTAACGCGCACAAAGTACTGCGCCTGCCACGAAATGTCACCTCCGTCACACATCGCAACCTCACGATTCCCTGCGCCTGCCACGAAAATCACACTTCCACACCTCAAAACCCGCACAAAGTCCTGCGCCTGCCACGAAAAGTAACAATTTCATCGCATGTGAGCTTCAAAACTAGACGACAGGGTGGCCCGAAAGCAAGTAGGCGGAAGAGAACAAATAGAAGGGAAGAAAAGCGAAGTAACAGAAGATGAATGAGCACTAAAGAAATGAAGAGATGATATATGATGATTCAAAACATTAAGATGAAACAAAATGAGATGATGATGAGATGACACAATATAATATATATATACATTATGATTATGATACTATTATCACGTTATTACCAAATCTATTAATGTATATTCTGTTGCACTGTACTTCGGAGCCCAAACGGTAGTCCCGGTCGATTCTTTTTTATCCAGCGCCGGTCGAGCTCAAACGCTAGTCCCGGTAGTAAGAGCCGCCGAAGTGTGCGAAATCGCACGTCCCAACCTGGCATCAGGACAACCAATGCTCATACAAATGCAACACTTGAAAAACAAAACAAATTACCCACAGTTCAACTCATGTTGTTTTGTCGGTTATCAGATATAGTTGCACACCCAGTCGGAACAGGATCGACTTCGAACAACTCTCGGTCGTGGATCTCGTGCCTTGTGGAGTCTCTGCACGTTCAGCTGGAACAAGGGTCGACTTCGGACAACTTCCGGTCGTGGACCCAGGTCCTTCTAATCAGTTTGGTCACGACACTTTGCAATAGCCAATTCACAGCTTTTCGCCGATACTTGTAACTTCGTGGCTGGTGACTATATGTGGCATCGACATGCCGGCCTCCTGGAATTCCATTGCGTGGTGTCCACTTTCATTTGGTGTGCCTCAAAGGTGCGCATTCTTTCGACCAACAAAGGATTGTGCTCATGCAAAAACTTTTCAAAGATGTGTCGCTCAGGCAAATCAACCAAATGCAAATCTTCCAATTTTCTGGCGCGCGACAACATCACATACATAGCCAGCCCATAATCAGAATTGGACATCCACGCTGGCTTGCTCAAGAATGCAACAAGTCCTTGCCGCGCAGTGACACCTTGCAATCCGAAGTGCGTCAGAACGTTTCTGGGAGCCAGTGGAAACTGCTTGCGCACAATTTTGATGTACTGCTTGTGTCCAATCTGCAGCGACCAGGAACCTTCACAGGTGACAGCACGGAGATAAAAGTGACCCGCCGGTGCATCACAACCTGGCACTTTGTAGTTTCTGTATTCGGGGTCATCAATTTCAACCAAAATAGCCAGCGGTTGATACTGCAAAACTTGGAATCCTTCGTCTCCAGCGATGCCTTGCTCACGAGGATGCATTGTACTTGTCGAACGATGACACAGGAACACCTTCGAGCCAGAACTATAAGGCGAATAGCAACCAAAGCGTGTAAAACACCATGTAACTACGCACCGAACGAT